ATGCTGGAGACTATAGCGGTGGCGGGAATCTGGACCAGGGAGCGTCGCAGGGCGGCCAACCTCAACATAGAAGGCGACGACACCTGCGCGAGATGCGGCGAGGCGATAGAGACAGAGGAACACCGCTACTACGCATGCCCAGCCAACGCAGAGATAGGGCACAGCAGTGAGACCGACCTGGCGAAGAAGGCGAAAGACGCGCTGGACCAGCGGCAGGACCTGCACTTCTGGCTCCGCGGCATCCCGCCAGCGGCCTGGGCAGCCAAGGTCGACCCAGACGAGGACGCGGCGAAGGCGGCGCAGATCTTCTGCACCAGCGAGGAGGCGCAGGCGGCAGCCCAGGCAGGGTACAAGGTTCGAGCAGACTACGTCTTCACGGACGGCTCTGGTGGTGCAGGGGAGACGGCCAAGGATCCCCGCCTCAGACGTTGCGGCTGGGCAGTGGTGGCCTTCAGGTTCGACGAGCAAGGACGTCCGCAGGAAGTGGCCGCCTGGTACGGCACGATCAGGGCACCACACACGGTGCCAAGGGCAGAGCTCACCGCCATGAGCAAAGCCATCGGGTACACCACGGCGGCGACGGCCAGGGGGCTCAACATAGTCAGCGACTGCAAGTACGCCCTGGACGCACTCAAGCAGATCCAGGATCCTGAGGACCTGGACTACAGGAGCACAAACTACGACCTCTGGCTCCAGACGAAGCAGCAGCTGCAGAACAGCACGGACACCATCATGGGCCACCATATCCCAAGCCACCTGATAGAGCACCCAGCCGAGCTGGAGAGGTGGAATGGCCCCACCTGGTGGGTCATCGGAAACGAGATGGCAGACAAGTACGCAGGCTGGGGAGCGGAGCATGGAGCCCTGGATACAGCCATTATCGCGCAGCAGCAGACCAGGGACCAGATCACCATGGCGGTGCAGAATCGGCTGCTGGCCATCAACATGGCGGTGACGGTGGAGGACCCCAGCAAGGCCCCTCAGCGTCCCAAGGCCAAGCGCCGAAAGCCACAGGCGGCAAGGGACAGGGCAGCCCAACTGGGACACGACTTGCGCAGGCTAGATCCGCGATGGTGGTGTGCAACGTGTCGCAGTGGCCCAGCCAAAGGACATAGCATCAAAGACTGGCTGGCAGAGACGGGAGGATGCCTCGGGAAGTACGGTGGCCACCAGGACCAGCACGGCAACGTCAGGCTCGATTTCAAGGCGGTGCAGATCGGCACGCAGGTGGTGGACGTCTCCCACAAGACGCAGTTCACACATGGCTGGCTCTGGTGCGAGAAATGTGGCGGCACCAGCTACCTTGGGGACCACAAGAGCAGGATCGTGGCAGGAGTGACAAGGAAGCTAGCCAGGCCATGTCAGCCCCCAACAGCAGCAGGGAGGCGGGTCCTGGCGGACATGCAGAGGAGCAAGCTGCCAAGAGGAGCTAAGCCAGCAGCAGACCCAGAGGAGGAGGGTTTCAACGAGATCACCATGCCTGGTGACTTCAAGCTGGGCATGAGCAACCACGAGGTGATCGCGACCTAGACGGAGACAGTTCGGAGGCAGGGGACCCGCAGCCAGCCCCACAGCAGCCACCCAGCCACCCGCACTCTGTCGCCCAAGCCAGCTGGAGGCTCGTGGACCACATGGAGGGCTACGCGGAGCTGTGGATGAACATGGTCGACCAGGAGGTCTGGGATGACATGGGCGACTGGATGGAGCACTGCGTACCGTACCTCCTGGCCATCACCAACGTGGGCGGCAGAATGGACTCGCAAGATCAGACCAGGGCTGTCACCGCGCAGGGGCTTCAGCAAATCAAGGACTTCTGTGAAGAAGTCTGGCGCAACACGCACCGCAAGCGACGGAGGCTCATGACCAGGATGCTCACCCCCCCGCACGGTACTAGGCAGCAGGTAGCAAGAGTGCACATGGACGCGTTCCAGAATAGAAGGGACAACATCCTAGCGCACAGCATCCCCAGCAGCGAGCGCAGGCCGCTGCCGAGTACAGCGGAGGCCAGCAGAGAGTGGTCACCAGAAAACCTGGACGATGATGACTCGGCACCAGACAGTGAAGCCCCAGAGCAGGAGGGTGAGCCGAGAGACCAGGAGATGGAGACCATGGCAGGACCTGATCAGAGGAGCGACACCAACAGCCTGATGCAGTCGGCCGTGCAGGTCGCAGTAAAGCTGACCAAACCAGTGGGGCCCGACCTGATGAAGTTCGTGAGCGAAGCCGATGAAGCTGGCCTGCTCCACCCAAGGCTTCGACACAAAAGAGAAGCCGACCATGGCCCCGAGCAGGAGGTGGCGTGGCCCGAGAGGAACAGGCTCGAGCAGCACATGCAGTCGCTGGCAGGCTGCTGGACCCAGAGAGAGGGCAAACAGGGCTGGCCATCGTGGCAGGCTGCGTGCGTGCCTCATGTACTGAGGGAGTTGCAGACTGGCGTCTACCAGAGGCTGTTCAGCCACGGGTCAGGGCTGAGCCGCCAGCGCAGCCAGCGCCAAGCGGCGGAGGAGATCTGCCGCATGGCATGGCTCAACAGTGGAGAGGCGCGCAGGCAGAGCCAGCAGCTGGACCCGAAGGAGGCAGAGCGGCGCAAAGCAATTGCTGAGCAGTTCCTGGGTGTGACTGGGCCAGCGATGAGGAGCCGCAGCTCGCGACCCTAAGCAGCAGTGCGAGAGCCAAGCAGGGCCCCAGCCAGACAGCCGAGAAGGCACACAGAGGCCAGGGCCACCAGCAGCCCCGCCGAGCTGCGCACGGCAACGCCAGCGCCCGAGCCCGAGCGGCCCAAGGGACCCAGGGCACTGCAGCCAGAGCGGCCCCTGGAGGCGGGAAGGGCTGAGGAGCAGCAGAAACCCGTCAGCAGGCCCCAGGGTGGAGAAGGGACAGGCCACCACGAACCCCTGCGCGGCAAGGGGGAAGGCCGCAGAGGACCCCAGCGTGGCGAGGGGTTAGGCCACAGCCCCGCGCCAGACGGGATGCAGAGGGGTGCCCGTCCCCCACCAGCAGGACGGAGCTTCAGGGACATGGCAGCCCTCGACCACTTCCATGAAGGGGAGAGCAGTGAGGATTGCCTCCAGCAGCCCGTAGACAAGCAGGACAGCGATGACAACCACCAGCAGAACCCAGATGTACAGCACAGCATAGGGTACTACCTGGCAGACCGCGGAGGACCCCAGCGTGGCGAGGGGTTAGGCCACGGAGGACCCCAGCGCGGTGAGGGGTTAGACCGCAGAACCAAAGGCAGACAGAGGCACGAGGTGGAGGTCCCTGGCGAGCCCAGTGAGCATGACGCGGACCTTTTGACCAACAGTGTGGTAGACAGGACCTCGCAACTAACAGAGCGGACCCATACCCTTGGAAACCGACAGACTGAACGCGAGGGGGAGGGCTCAGCCCGCGGATACCACGTGAACCGCGAACACAGCGAGTGGCACAGTCGGGGGACCTCGCCCGAGCCAGTGGACAGCAGCACCGAGGATGGTGACGGTGCGAGATACGACGTTTCCCTGCGTGGCGAGGGGTTAGGCCACAAAACTACGCCGCCCGAGATGACGGCAGACTACGACGACACAGACTTGCAGCGGGACCAGGGCAAGGATTTCGGCGACCTTCCCCAGCGCGGTGAGGGGTTAGACCGCATGGAACCCTTGCGCGGCGAGGGGTTAGGCCACGGCAGTCCCCTGCGCGGTGAGGGGGTAGACCGCAATGCCGCAGGCAAGCAGAGGCTCTAGGTGGAGGTCCCTGACGAGCCCAGCGAGCAGGACGCGGATCTTTTGACCAACCGTGCGGTAGACAGGACCTCGCAACTAACAGAGCGGACCCACACCCTGGGCAACCGACAGACTGAACGCGAGGGGGGGGGGCTTGGCCCGCGGATACCACGTGAACTGCGAACACAGAGAGTGGCATAGTCGAGGGACCTTGCCCGTGCCAGCGGGCAGCAGCACAGGGGATGGGGACAGTGCGAGACTCGGTGATCCCCCGCGCGGTGAGGGGTTAGACCGCAGCAGGCCCCAGCGTGGAGAGGGGTTAGGCCACGGAGCACCCCAGCGCGGTGAGGGATTAGACCGCAACGATCCCCAGCGTGGCGAGGGGTCAGGCTACAGAGCACCCCAGCGCGGTGAGGGGTTAGAACGCAGCAGGCCCCTGCGTGGCGAGGGGTTAGGCCACATGGGACCCCAGCGCGGTGAGGGGTTAGACCGCAACAGTCCCCTGCGTGGCGAGGGGTTAGGCCACGGAGCACCCCAGCGCGGTGAGGGGTTAGACCGCAGCAGCCCCCAGCGTGGCGAGGGGTTAGGCCACCGTTTCCCCCAGCGCGGCGAGGGGTTAGACCGCACCGTACCCCTGTGTGGCGAGGGGTCAGGCCACGACGAACCCCAGCGCGGTGAGGGTTTAGACCGCAGCAGACCCCTGCGCGGCGAGGGGTTAGGCCACCAAGGAGCACCTCAGCGCAGTGAGGGGCCAGACAGCAACAGGCCCCAGCGCGGTGAGGGGTTAGGCCGCAGAGGACCCCTGCGCGGCGAGGGGTTAGGCCGCAACGCACCCCAGCGTGGCGAGGGGTTAGGCCACAGCCCTGCGCCAGGCAAGGCGGCCGAGAAGGCCCAAGAGTCCAGGGACCAGCAGCCAGGACGGTCCCTGGAAGAGCGCAGAGCGGAGGAGCGGCAGCGGCCGTCCATCAGGCTGCTCCTCAAGCTCTGAGAGGGCGGCGGCAGCATATCTTCAGACTGCCGCCGCCCACGGGGCGACTCAAGGAGTCATTGAGTGGTGGCAGTACGACGACGTGAGATGAGGCCGCTGGCCCACCCCGCCTCGGGCCGTTCTGCCTGCGCGGGGTGCCGAGACCAGGGGCGCCCACTCACGGGCGGGAGCACGCGGGTTTAAATTCGTCCCCCTCCCCACTTGACCTCTTCACCTACCCTCCCCCACCCCCTTCTGCTCCTCCTCCCCCCTCGTCCGGCTCCTCCACAGCCTCCGCCCCCCCCTCCCCCCCCCCCCGAGCCCGCGAGGAGCACCAGGCGGCGGCAGCGCAGACCCGCGACCGCCAGCAGAGGCAGGAGGAGCGGTGCAGG